TGTGGGTGTGGGGTGTGTGAGTGGGGTGTGTGGGTGTGGGGTGTGTGGGTGTGGGGTGTGTGTAGCGAAGATAAAAACATTCGCACACACACCCATACCCACATCCATACCACACCCACATCCACACCCACACTCAACCGCGCCCACACCCACCCACACGCACACCCGCATGCACACTCAGATGCACACCCCCCCCCATACCGACATCTACACCTACCCAGATCCCACATCCACACCCACCCACACCCTACACCCACACCGATACCAACATGAACAGACACGCCCACATTCACACCCACACATCCACACCCCACAGCCACACCAACACTCACTCTCACACCTACACGCGCATGCACACCCCCACCCACCCACATCTAGAGGTGTTAGCCGCCGACTTTTCGCCGCCGCCGCCGATCGAGTGAATGGTCACAGTTCAAGCTTCCTCTTTTTCTAAATTATCACTGGTTGATAATAATCAGTAATATCTCAAGTTTGATCTATGTGACAATTAGAGATTGCTGAAACCAACAGAACTTTTAAAAAATTGGAATTAGTGCATTTTTTCTTGGATGACATATGGTCTGAAAACCGAGCTGATAAGCAAATATGTCTCCTTGTGATTTTGTGACGCTACCATATTTATTAAGTTTTCATTTGCCTTATTCCTTCCTGCACAATAGATTCATCGCTATTATTTTCTCCGTTTCGCGATTCTTGACTTATTCAGTATGCAGTTTCGACTAACTGTCTAGTTTGAGTTCGAATATAAATGTAACTAACATTACGATTCGAATTCGAATTCCAACCGACACTCTCCTGCCAGTTTAGAAAAAAGAAAAATATTTAGTTTCAATTTGAATTCAAATAATCAATGAAAACAAATCTTGCTCTTTTTCTCCACTCATAGAAAAGTATCGATTTGAATTTGGATTCAAATTCTAATTTCAATGTTCGTTTCACTTATGATCTAATTCGAGCTACCATAGAGATGGCACATTATCTTTATTTTACTTTGAAAAAGTAAAGTAACGTAAAGTAGAGTAAAGCAAAATACTATAGTTTGAATGTGGATGATAAAGTGAGATAAAGTTAACCAAACAATATTTTTCATGTATTCATAAAAAATCGACTTTTTTCGGCTTTACTTATTTTTTTTCACACTAATTTTAAGACGAAACGATATTGAATAAACTTTGATACGTTTTAAGATTATTTCTACACGATCCTGAACTAAGAAATTGCCAAAAAATTTAAAACATACAGCTTCATTTTTTTTCACTTTACTTTACTTTTTGGGTAACGTATTTAACTTTACTTTAACGGGTAAAGTAAAGTATTTAACTTTATTTTATCGGATCAAGTGAAGTATTTAACTTTATTTTATCCGATCAAGTAAAGTATTTAACTTTATTTTATCCGATCAAGTAAAGTATTTAACTTTATTTTATCCGATCAAGTAAAGTATTTAACTTTACTTGATCGGGTAAAGTAAAGTTCTAATACTTTACTCTATTTGGTAAAGTAAAGATAAAGTGCCAGCCATAAGCTATCATGTTTGAATTTAATTTGTATTTTTGATGGATAGTCACATTATTGCCATTTCGGCTTATATCATGAGTTCTTGTTGTGTGGTTTGAAGTTATTTTATGATGGGACAATGTGAATTTTTTGAATTAATGAAAATAAAGTAACATCTAGTGGAAAAATTTTTCCATAAAAAGACATGAGCGTGCTGAGAGGAAAACAGCGGTATAATTCTGTGAGAACAGAACGTCTAATGTTTGTCTTAATGGTAGGGATCTAGGAAAGACCCTGTGAAATAACATAGGAAAAATTTTGCCGTCGCCGCCTCCGCCGAAAATGACCTACTCGGCGAGAGCTCCTCGCCGCCGCCCCCGATGCCTTAAAACTTTTCCGCCGCTGCCTCCGATCAAATGATCGGCTAACACCTCTACCCACATCACACCCTGGTTCAAATTTACCTCCACGAACAACAGTAGTTGGTGACTCACCTTCACCAAGACAGCTTGCGTTAGTTGATTTGTTGCCCATGGTAAATCCATGCCTCATCACCTGTAATAATATCACATAATCGCCAGGAACCATCACGAAATTTCTCCAAATTTTCACGACAAAGTCTAACTCGTTCTCGCTTTTGTTCATCATTCAATTGATGGGGTACCCAACGAGATGTAACTTTTTTCATCTTGATGCAGTCGTGAATAATTCATTCTATTGTACCATGAGAGAGAGATGTCTCAGCTATAATATCATCATAACTTAAACGTGGATCATTGTTTATAACATGTTGTACCAATCCAATATTTTCATCCGTAAGTTCAGATACTGGACGACCAGAACGAGACTCACCATTGGCATCCTCTCTTCCTTCATAGAAACGCTTTGCCGACCTTGCAACTGTTGGAAATGATAGAATGTTGGGTCCCAAAGCTGTTGCAAGTTCTTTATAAATTCTCTTTGGATCTATTCCCAAAATAGTCCGACTTTTTATATAGTATCGATCGAATTCATCATCCATTTTTCAAATTTTTTTTGGTTTGAGCTTAAGTTTATGTGAAAAAAATACTGTAACTGAGTCCAAAATAGAATTAATACATATATACGTATGGACAAGACATTACACTACAGTGTGTCCCAAAAGTCTCCTTCCAAAAGTTTTGTCGTATATCTTTGCTATTTCATTTACCTTTATTGACAAATTTTTTTTTAAATTAAAGGTGAAGATATCGAGTTTTTATTTATCTGAACCGCCTTCCTTACTTACTTGCAAAAGTATTACTTTTGATCGAAATACAAAAGTTTTGCTTTCTTTGTGAAATGCAAGTAAATGAAAAATCAACTAAGTTGTTTTCTTTGATATTTTCATATAGGTGGATAGAGCGTGTCGAGTTCTACAAAAATATGTATATTGAAAGGTTTTCAAACCTTTTCTTTGATGCAGAATTTACAGAAAACTACCTTAGAAGATCTAAATAACTAAAGGAAAAAAAAATGGATGCACAATATTTTTCTGGAAATACAAAGAAAGCAAAATTTTTGTATTTCGATCAAAAGTAATACTTTTGCAAGTTAGTAAGGAAGGCGGCTCAGATAAATAAAAACTCGATATCTTCACCTTTAATTTAAAAAGAAATTTGTCAATTAAGTTAAATGAAATAGCAAAGATATACGACAAAACTTTTGGAAAGAGACTTTTGGGACACACTGTATTTATTCGCGCAGAAATCTTTTCAATATTAATTCGTTCATAAAATTGCCAAGAGCGTTCTCAGAACTTTTGGTCAGACCTAAGTAATATATTTTTTTCGCAATAAAGTATTCGAAAAAACAACAACAAAGTCAATGAGGAAACTCTATCTTTCAATTTTGCTGAAAATCATCGAAATGTTATTTATGATGTTAAGAATATGGAATCTATACCCACATCAATGACGACTGAAGAAATGATTGATATGTACATTGTAACTGATACGGAGACGGATAGATTTCTTCTTCAAACCAGTAATTTTTGTCTTTGAAGAAAGAGAAGAGAAAGAGTAGACTATTGAAGAGAGAGTCGTAAACACACTCATATCGAATGGTTTGATCATATTTCAAGTATTATTAAAAAGAATCGAAATTTGATAGAAGTTGTATATGTTATGCGTTATTTGGCATACAAAGATCACCTATACCATACGATATATGAAATGGTTTTCGTTTTCGGGCACTATGCAAGTTCTCTAAATATACACACAACAATGTTTCTAATATTATAGAAAAAGGATTTCTTGACTAGCTAGATTTATAGAACGTTTAGGGAGAACTTAAGCGTTACAATTCTCATCAGATACTCTATAGCTGAGTTTTTTTGAAAATTTAAGCCAGTAGAATATTTCTGTTGCCCACATTTCAATTTGAGGTTTTGAAAAATATTTTGTCTTGTTACTTGTTGTTAGTAGTATTTCGAATGAGGGATTCTAGTAGAACAATATTAGCAAAATGACTTCGTTTACAGTGAGATGGCAACCGTCTTTTTATTTTGTTGAAATATCTGTTTTTGTCAATATGTAGGAAATAAAAACATCTTCTAATGATTAATTATAAGAGTCCACGAGTCTTTTTTTTAAAGTTACGCATATATTTCTGAAGAAGCCTTCAAACGAAAACAATCGTGACTCTATATAGTACCTCTCTTTGAAAAATGTGTTTGAACCAGGAGAAAGTTCGATAAATAAGACTCTCCTCATTAAAAGACGTTTATGTTTGCTAAACAAGTAGTATCTTTCTACTGCGTTGTACCATTCTATACTACTCAACAGAACAAAATAATAAAGATTGTATATTATAACCTATAGGAAATATTTTTAGAAGTAGTTATGTATATTCAGATGCTTCTAATCAACATCGAAAACTTCAAAATGTTATCTTAGTCTTCAAAGTATAGAATTACTAGTAAATGTGTGGACTGGATGATCTCTCTGACTTCTGATGAGAATAAGAGTGAGAGCTCGCAACTTATATACGAGATTTCGTGACTACAGAGTGTGATGAGCACATGCAGTCACATAGGATTAGTTACTCCTAGCCTTACGCTATGGTTTTGAACTGAAGCGGACAAATACATCACTTTACACTTGCACCAAACTATCTTCGACTCACAGCTGCTACGCGACATGTTCTACAGTCTTATATAAAATGTTAATGTTTTATGTAGATCTTGTGTATCTAAGTGTACATAACTATTTCCAATATTTTTACTACTCCAGATCGAAAATATGGATAGTAGCATCTATCAAGGAAACACACAGGGTCGTATTTTGACCCTAGAATTGGCAGACCCAATCTTGAACCCGAACAAATCAATATTCACAGTTCGGCCCACGGATCCACATTTTCCCGATCTCGACATACATACTGTTCATATTTCGTGTGAATCGGATCGCTTCGATGCTTCGACGAATCTAATTGGCATGATCGTTTACGGCTATAATGGTGCAGTTGATTTCTATATAAATAATAGACACTGCAAAGCAGGCTATATTCTAATAAAAAAAAGCGATACGATTAATCACATTCAAGCAGATACAATGCATAAAAAGCTATTCAAATGGTTCTTTGACCAGGACTTACTTCCTGAATTTATCGGCGGTGGGTTTGCTTATCAAAATGGTCAATGGAAACACAACTCATTCACCTTTAATACGAAGCAAGACTTTTACCATGGTAATAAGAAAGGAATGCATATTACCGAGAAACAACTGCTCGGCGGCGCTTTGTCACGACTTTACATCAATCATCAGTGGCAGCAAAATCCAAATCTCTCCGTGCGAGAAATTTTTTCATCGAATGATGGATGGCAATTATTTAAACAATCTGCTGCTGTTACTCCGAGTATGTATGATACGTTTCTGCTACTCACAATGTTTCAAATTAGGGGGCTTTTAATAAGCGTAGTGTTAGTCTTAATATCTCCTTTGCTCTCTTATTTATTTCATACTTTTCTTATAGATCGTGTTGACAATGTCAATAAATATGGCCGCGCGGCAACTATAGGTTCATCTGGCAAATACTATTGCGGCGGCTATCTTGATTACATACGTTGCCGATGTTGCGATGGTCGATGCGGCCCAAATAATGGGTGTAATTGTTCTGCTTGTATGGAACTTGATATTGTAAAACGCAAACTACCAAAGGGTACATTGGTCAATCGCGATGGCGCACCAGCCAGTCGCAGCCAAAAAGATGGAAAAACATTCTATTGTGGCCGTCGTATATTGAAACGAACGATTGATTGTAATGGATACTGTGGACCTCATGACGGACCTCAGTGTCACGCTTGTCAAGCGCTAAATGAACAAACGTCACGTTATATGGCATTATTAACTTCATACGTATATATATAGATATTATGCATAAAAAACATTCAATAAAGTTTATTTTATCGCCACCGATGATCAAACATCTTCTCAAATTAACTACAGCCCAATCTATTATTTTTCGTCTAACCTTCGACTGCATTCGACTATTTGTCAAACTACTTAACTTCAGTTCGACTAAATGCGATTTGACTTTATGAAAAATTGATTCGAGTTCGAATCGAATCAACCCGTCTTCGCTCTCTGTAATATATCGAGAAATACAAAAAATTAACAATAGAAAATTTCTATATTTCATTTGCTGTGTGTGTATGTATATGAATATGATAAGTATGTCTTTTTACGAAAGAATACGAGAGAGTCCTTTGTGGGAGGGTGTGGGTGTGGGTGTGGGTGTGTGGGTGTGGGTGTGGGTGTGGGTGTGGGTGTGTGGGTGTGGGTGTGGGTGTGTGGGTGTGGGTGTGGGTGTGGGTGTGTGGGTGTGGGTGTGGGTGTGGCTCTATAATACAAATACCACCACTCACACCCACACTCACACCCACACTCAAACCCACACTCACACTCACACCCACACCCACACCCACACCCACACCCTTGAAGATCTTTACACTATGATACCAAGAAAATGTGTCCTTCAGGCATTATTACGATTTTTAGAAAAATATTCAAAACATGGCAAGATAGGTCCGTTTAGTATAGATATTATAATGAAAATGGCTCGTCTCATTTTGGACACTAACTATTTTGCATATATCAATAAATATTATAAACAAACTCGTGGTGGAGCTATGGGTTCTGCCTTTACTCAAGTATATGCCAATATATATATGTTAGAATGGGAACAGAATTTAATTGAACATCAAGCATCAAAGAATGAAATTTATGGAAGATCAGTCTGAAATTCCTAATCACAACATTCACAACTTCTCTGTTTAGGTATATTGACGATATTTTTATGACTACTAATGAATCATATGATGTAATCACAGCCGTACTTCAACAAGCACAAAAACAAGATGTTAATATTAAAATAAAACCAACTATTAGTAATTCCGTTAATTTTCTCGATATAACTATCAACAATACAAATGGACAATCAACAGCATCCATCTATCACAAGCCTACAGCTGATCCTTATTACTTACCATATAAATCCGATCATCCACATAGTATTCATCGCAATATACCATATACAGCCTTAGTACGTGCAGCACGTCTTTGTTCAAATCTTCATGATTTTCATAGGGAACGTTTAAGAATTCATGTATCCCTATTATTAAATAATTACCGACCACATTTTATCTCAAATCACTTCCAACGATTCTTTCAAGTACATAAAGCTGATATTCTATATAAATCCTTCGATGAAAACACCTATTTTCAATTACATTGACAATTACTATATCAAACTTCGAAGCGTGAACTAGAAGAACTAACTATGAAAAAAGATCCTGTTCTATTTCCACCAGTATTACAACAGCGA